TCCGGGTCCTTGGTACTTCTTGTCGAGTAGATTGCAGTTCTACCTAGACCTAAACCAGACCTAAACCGTTGACATCCCTAATCTGAAAAAGTAAAATGGGTGTTGAAGCAGTTCCTAAAAGCTTCTTCAATTTTGCTCTCCTCTTCCACCCAAACACCATCTCTATTTTTTAACCTCAAAGCTCTATTTCTAACCCATCTACCTAGAGTGGATTGATGAAAAAACCTTATTTTTGTGTATAGAACCCATCTTCTGTTTTTAGCCACAAGTCCAAATTTCCCTCACAGCTCCTCACTCTTTCCCCATAATAAGAGGTACATACATCTCTAAGTGTCATATCCGGATCAATTGAGCTTCATCAAATTTTTTATTCAGATTCCCAAAATAATTCCTATTCCATTTCCTTAGCTCTAATTGTAGCCATTTGCCATTATTTCTCAAGCAAAGTTGACTCAGACATCTGACTTCTTTCTTTGAAATATTCTCAATCACTTTTGCACAATATTCATTAAGGATTTGGGGTGCAGTCTCAAGCAACCCAAGCTATGCACAGACAAACTTTAGCACGCTCTAACATTTTATTTATTCCACAAATCCACATTTTGGGCAAATGATGTACAAAGTCAAGGAGCAAGCATGAGAAAACTTGATTATACCAAAAAGAGTATACAGTGACTTGACACCAAAAGCAATATGTGAATGATTAAATGCCTTAAAAACCACAAAAAAAAAACAATTGTTGTTCAAGTTTTTTTAGGGTTGCAATTTGAGTGGGCCTAACTCGAGCCCAACTCTAACTTTCCCTTAGGCTTGGGCACAAATTTTCGAGATTTTAGTTGGGATCAAGTCTAAAGGCTCAGCCTTACCAAAATCTTGGGCCAGGCTAAGGTAGATTGAACCCAATACAGACCTATGCAAATGGGGAATACAGAAAAATATTTGGGTGGACCTTTATTCTTTTCTAGTTCCAAGCTTATACATAGTTTATTTGTGATAAATTCACATAGGATGATTATCCTTTTTATGAGGTTATATAATATATCTTGTTAAGACTGAAAAAAAAAGAGCAAGAGAATTAGCATTTATATTGTAAAGTTTCCAAGATGAAGATTTTGTCAAGTATATCAAAAGTCTGAAAAATCCAACTGACTTTGCAACGTATCTTGGTTTTACTTTTCAATGTTTTATGTCATATATCATTTTTCATTGTAAATTGTTGAAAATGGGTCATATCAGAGTGGATCTAGTTCGATTCACTAGATCCAATTTTTTGGGGGGGTCAAAACTCTACGTGCAAATGTCAACATTGTCAGCACCCATAAACTACAACCATATCCTATTATTTCCATCTACGCTTAAGAAATTAGTTGAATATTACTTGCCAAGAAGGATCACTCGACTATGCAAAATTTGACCCTAAACCTTTCTTTCCACCAAGAATCAAAGATTGATTTAATAGGAATCAAGGTCTAAAATATCAATTCACCCTAATATGCTGAAGGGTGTATCAATACTTTGAAGTGTGCTTTTTATTTAGGGTAAACTATAGCTGTACTTTGGGGTACTTTGGGGTAGTGAAAGTTCGGGGTTGAAGGTACTCAAGTGTATCCCGTAAACTTTCAATTGGATCCCGTTGGCTTTTTTTTATGCTTTTGAGTTGTGGCCTACGTTGAAATAACTCAAAAGGCAACCATTAGGTGCCTTGCCTAATTTTAAATGAATTTAGTGTGGTAACTTATCAAATTAATCAACTTGGTCAACAGTATCTTGTAAATTTTTGTCAATTTTGTATAATGAGTTGTAAGTTTTATCAAGTTGGTCTTATGTTTATTTATACGGTCTCATTTATATCCTATAAGTTATTAAATTAGTCAAGAGTTTTTTATGAATTTCTATCAAATTGGTATAATAATTGTAGAACTATATCAAATTGGTCTTATGTTCTTCTATACGATCTAATTAATACCATTTAAGTGTGTAAATTAAAGTACATAACAATTCATTTGCATCCCTATACCATATATATATATATATATCACTTGTATTTCAAACCCAAACTGAACATCTCCCCACAATGACGTTCTCATATAGACAGCAAATAACATATTCAAAATTTCAACAGCATTTAAAAGGGACTATGTTGGCATTTCAACTCTATTCTTTTCTGACCATGGCTTTCTCTCATGACGATTTTACTCCGCCCTTAATTTACTACCCTCATTGGTGAAGTGTTCTTCATTGAACTCTCTTCTGCTTCTTTGTAGGGATAAGAATGAGCAACAGCAATGCTCATTTAAATGATGTTTTGGTCATTTTTTTAATTTTTTAATTTAAAAATATATATATAGGCACTTTGGTAATTTTATCATACACCATAATGTGAATTAAGGAAGTAGAACCAATTATCTATTTTTGAGAATTTAAGGTACTTATCCATCACTACCTCCAAAATACAGGATACCTATATGTAATTTATTTATTTTTAGTTTTTCATTTTCAAATTTATAGGGAGGGCCTCAAAAGCGGGTCAGCCCACGGATTTTGAAAAAATAAAATAAAATCGACCATGATAAGAATTTCTTCACTAATGACGGATGAAAGGAGAGAGAGATGATGATGATATAACTTATATACATCCGGACTGCATCTCTTCACTAATTATTCATCAAACAATAAGCCATAGTATTTTCAGACCTCTTTACATGATATAACTTATATACATCCGGACTGCATCTCTTCACTAATTATTCATCAAACAATAAGCCATAGTATTTTCAGACCTCTTTACATGATATAACTTATATACATCCGGCTTAGATGCAGTCCGGATTGAGTGGACCCTTCAGTTCATGGGGCGCGTGAACCCTCCAATAGGAGGTGTGCACATCGCCCTATTCAGGGATTGCTATTCCACTAACGTAACGAGTCTGTTAATGTTGTCATCCTACTTCAATCATTTCGATAAAAACAAAACCCGATCCCTATCTTTCCCCCTCATTCCTTTGAACCGTCTTTCCGCAGTTTCATTTTCACCATAGCCCTAGCTCAAGCGCAAGATGGTGGCATGCAACGATTTCAACGTCTGATGGCGTGGAGTCAACCGGCGGCGAGAATCAACCAGTGGTCAGCATCTATTCTCCTCATTTTCCTTCCAAACCTATTATTCCTCTCCAATATGATATTCTTCCTTTCTACAGACCACTGACGACGATTTCTCTGTTTCATTGAGCTCTAATGGCCTGGAATCAACCAGAGTAAACCAGCAGTTGGGTTGGGGCGTTCATCGCCGGCTATCCAACATCATGAGATTTAACCCAATTGCATCCTCATTTGGATCAATCTACGTGATGGACAACCCATTCACAACCACACCTAATATAAATTCAACCCTCATGGGGCGTGCTCAGGGGCTCTATGCCATGTCTTCGCAACAGAGCAAGTTCAGACTTCTGATGACTCTCGTCTATGTGTTTGTCAGCTGACCATACTACGGTAGTTCCTTCATCGTGGTGGGTCGGAACCCAATCTCGAATGAAGCAAGAGAGATGTCAATCGTCGGAGGCATGCGAGTTTTTCGGATTGCATGTGGGGGTATTGCTTGGAAAAGACACTCCATGGCAGGATTTGATGCAATAATCAGATATAATGCAGCCCTGATACATTAATTAATGGAGTTCTTATTTTTGTATTCATATGTTACTTGGATCCTCCGGCCTTCTATGAGATTTTCTATTATGAATAAATAAAAAATTTACCTTCATTTCATTACCCATGGGGTAATTTAGATGGTCTCTCTCTCTCTCTGAATCGGGAAACAACAATATAGTTCCGATTTCCAACTGTGTTAAGTTGTTCTTGCAATTCTAATTCAAAGTTCCAACATACATATTGCATTGGGACAGGAGTGACTGCACAGGAGTGGAAGCCTTGTGAGTTGTGAAGATGCCAGAATCAAATGACCCACATCTTGGGAAGAACAAGTTCTGATTTATGGATCTTCACGTTGTCGTAGATTTGATCAAAAGCTTGAAATGTTCGGTCTATCTATCAAAACAAGTATCCCCATCCAAATAATAGCTTGTTCTCTCCATTTTTTATATCAAACCTTTTTATCTTCGTGTAAAGGAAATACAGTTGAGACAAAAATTGTTAGATTGTCAATGTTGGAACAAATGAAGCTGGTTTACACTTGTTGCCGGTTGATTTCCCACGATCGAAGCTCAATGAAACAGAGAAATCGCCACTAGTGGTTATCTGTAGAAAAGAATATCATATGGTTATATTTTTACCTAACTGGTTGAACCAACGTTAACGGAATAGCAAACTGCACGCCTCCTATTGGAGGTGAACCGAAGGGTCCACTGAATCCGGACTCGCTTAAATGATAGTTCTGTTACCTCGTCCCTGTAAAGTTTGTCGGGCCATGAACATCACAGATAATCAAAACGTTGGCAATGTTTCTCTTAGACTGCTTCTTATAGAACCCGTGGAAGAGGCTGCCACCTGCCATTCCACTTCGTTATAGATCTGAGAGTGAGACCTTGATCCCATTGTTACCAGTATCCCGGAATCAATCTTGGTTAGAACAATAGCATATGGCTGCCTTATCATTTGCCCTTTAAGAACCATCGACATATAATGCCACCTCCAAATGACCAGGAAGAATGTGAAGAACACTGTTATCTCTTTCTTTCATTTCTGTCTGACTCTGCAGTTGTGACAATTTAACATTGCCTGATGCAATGCCTCTATCATTTCTCCACAGAACACACAATTCTCATCCGGATAGATACATGTGAGTCCGTCCTTTCTATGAATAACATCCCAATACAATTTCCATTGGAACATTCGAAGGCGACAGATTACCTGAGCCAGTTAATTGGATATTTGGCGTAAAGATGCATATGTAAACTGATTTGAAAGTACACCACCATATCATGTATATCTTATACAGTAGAATGGGGAAGCTAAATTGTTGATGTTAATATTTGGTGACATGGTTGAAACCTGCTGTAAAAACGACCAGCTGCCGTAGACCTTTTACTTTCAAAATACACAGATTGAAAGGAAAAAGAAACATGAAGAGAAATTGAAAGAGGAATACTTTTCTCAACAAATATCTCATTGAAGAATAAGAGGAACAACGCTAGTATTTTCCTTGAATCGCCCTTGGAAATAGAATACAATCAGCCCCACAATGAGAAAGAAACAAAGAAGAGAAAAAAAACGCAGTTCCCTTCGTATTAACAAATGCCCATAAGAGATATAAGAGAAGAAAAAAACGAAAATTTTCACACCTAGATGACAGAAACCCTAACCACCGAACCCGTACAAAGTCCTGCCCTGTCTCTTGAGAGCATAGACGACGTCCATGGCAGTGACGGTCTTCCGGCGAGCGTGTTCAGTGTAAGTGACGGCATCACGAATGACGTTTTCGAGGAAGATCTTGAGAACACCACGAGTCTCCTCATAGATGAGACCACTGATACGCTTGACACCACCACGACGAGCCAAGCGACGAATGGCAGGCTTGGTGATACCTTGGATGTTATCCCTCAGCACCTTACGATGCCTCTTCGCTCCTCCCTTTCCCAATCCTTTACCTCCCTTCCCTCTTCCTGACATTTTCTCCCTTCCTCTGCAACTCTTCTCTATCCCGCGAGTTTTCGCCTCTTCTTTTCCCTCCTCTGCTTCTGTGTCTCTTCGCTTCGCTTGGTTACTCGAAAATTGGCCGAGCGGTCTTTTATAGCTTTCTCCGGTTAGGGGAGCGCGTTTACGCCGTAGGATTGGGTAGTGATCCGTGAAGTTGTATAGGAAGAATTCTGGTCCGTCAGATCATAAAAGCTGCAATTTTATTGGTCAATAGACAAAGCGGGGATTGTTGCTTTGTTTTCTTCTCCCATCTCCCGCTCTCTTTTGGATTTTGCTGTTTCGCCGAGCGGGTTGATTAATTAAAAGTTTAAAACCTAAAAAGTGCTGTAATTACCATAATACCTACCACCTTTAGTTTAGTTTTCTGCCACTGCTATCACTCATCAAAGTTACTTACAAGAGTGTTATGGTCCAGATATAAATAGCCTAGCCATTTAATTACGAAAATACCTTCACGATGCCGATGCACAAACTCAACTTCATCAATCCAACATTCTAACGTTCTAATTGACCCCGCGAAACAACGTTCAATAAACCCAACAACAAAATGAACCTAAAATGATACAGTTTGGCCCGGATCAGTTTCAATATATGAAATTTGATTGCATTTCACTTGGCCGATTATCTAAATAAGTCGGATCTAATCAAATCCGTTTTGAATCCAAATTCGGCCGGGTAAGTTTTTGGATCCGGATACTCCTCATCCTGATAAAATGAATCTCATCGGAAATATCAATCCATTGGTTTCGAATATACCTTCAATCAATTGGATTTGTTAAAATTCAACATCTTTTATAACTTTTAAATATGTCTTAAAAATTATATACATATATAATTTTTAAAAGTTACATAATATATATATATATATATATATATATTTTAAATAATTTATTCTTATAACTTTTAAATATGACTTAAAACAATTTATGTATAACGTTTATATCCTTAAGTTTATAGTTTAAGCTTCATTCATAGGGTTGTAATTTTATATTTTTATTATGTCTAAAATTATAAATTGGCCTATAAACCTAAAGCCCTGATTGATTGATATTAGTTCATCTATTATTCTTTCATTGGAATTTCCTAGCCACCCACCTTTAAATAATAACTAATAAGAACAGGAAATGTTCCCAATGAATGATAGGGTGTGCATGTGAGGTGCCTGTGAGGCGTCAGTTGTGAGGAGCAGATCCAGTCTCCAACCCAAAAGGTCAAAATCATAGTTAGGAATGTCAATGGGCTAGAGTGGGCCCAGGTTTTACATATTCCATCCTCGGCCCTAAATGCATATTATAGCACGCCTTGTACTCTAGCAGGGCTGGAAGAGACCAAATCTAATAATTATAATATAGTAAACACTTTCAATGAACACTTATAAATATTTTGGCATATAAAGTGATTTTTAATTTTTTTTCAAGGGTAGGCTGGGGTATTTTAATGGACAGGTGTCAAAAAATTTTCTAAATGCTCATTGAACATGCTAACAACATTGTGCCCACCTAATCTGGATTGGGGTTGTAAGTCCTAGCTCCAACCTTATTCTTACAAGAAATGGGCATCCTTAAATTTATCTCAGTTCAATTAACCATTGTTCGCCAGTATGGTTTCATTCATATTTTAGATTGGATTTGGATTTACCCCTATCCAATTTGATATTTTTAATAAATTCTTCAAAAGCTTTTAATAGTTATAAACTACACACATATAGATAGATATAATAAAAAGGATTAAAAGAAATGTAATTGTTTTTAGGGGTAAATTGCACGAAACCCTCACCTGTACTATGGGGTAAGTGACAAAGACCTCCTACACTTTGGTTATTAGATGAAACCCTCTTAACCATTTAGTCACATGACGAAATGCATTAAATTATTAAAATGACCTACTAAACTTTCTCTATTTTCTTTTTCTTTCCATCAACTACTTCTCACGTATAAGAGCAAATCATCAACAATTAGGAGCATCAAAATCCTTAAGAAAACACTACCTTCAATGGAAATAACCGACTATAATCATAAGCTCTGCTATAAAATGACAAAATCATATGCACTAATCCCCGATATGACTCTCGAGCACGAAAGCCGCAGCAGCGAAGACGAAGAAGGAAAAAGAGAGGACACAGAGCGAAGAAGCTAGGGTTTATTTTAATGAGAACGAGAGTTGTGGGGAAGTTAAAGATCAGGTGCAGGAGGTCAAAAGTGATTTTATGGAGGACTTAAAGCAAAGTGATGGTGATGCCGGTGATGAGGTAGTCAGATCCTAAGGTTGTTGAAAGAGGTTAGTACATTTCCAACTCCAAGTATAAGAACAGAATAAATTTTAACCTCTGAATCAATGATATAGGCTTAATATTAGATTTGTTCATTATTCATTTGGTTACATGACCGGAAGTCAACGATCTTACGAGGTTCTCTCGCGCTCCCTCTCTCTGCAAAAATCGCTTTCCTTCTAAATTGGAAGACTGCGTTTAATTTTCTCCACATTTCCATATAAGGAAACTTCTTATGAAGACAATCCAGTTATAGACAGAATTTGATTTATAGGACGAAACCATAATCCATAATCAATCTGAAAATTTACCGATTCTACTAAATTGGGATTCAACACCAATTACAAAATTTTACTTTTTTCGGATTTTAAGAGGGGGGAAAATCTTATGTTCTATTTTTAGATTTAAGCGGAGATTAGAGAAATTTTATTTTCTTAGATACCACTTATCCGGGTAAATGATACTCATATCTTAGGTGGGTAAATAATTTTCCCACCTAAGAGAAAAGTTGCCAATACTTGAATGGAATAAAAATACCCTTTTTAATAATGTATTTTTATGACCAAAATAGCCATTACCTTATTTACATAAAAAATAAAAGAATATAAATAAATACACTTACCCGAATAAATGTTTCCTAGAAACATGATCTAAAATAATTGGAAATGATCACTGTTTTTCCGCATTCAAAATTCAATTGCCTCCCATTCTCTTGACTCCTGATTCCTGAAGTCTTGTTCAGAAAATCAGAGGACAGGGACAATATCCTGGAAATCGCACAACAAGGATGAATATCAATTCTGCAAGTTGCTCCGGATCTAACACCACATTCTTATCCCAAAGAACCATGCAAAAACATTAACATAGAAGAAACACAAACTGCATGATAAAATAAATATATGGCAACCAAAAACAATAATAATAAAATCTAACAAAAATCGCATGATAAAAAATGTAAAATTATAAGTATGACTGACCTACGTGCTGATGATGCCACAAAGCTTAATTTGGACACTTAAAATCTATATGAAAAAGAGATACAATTAACTAAGAAAATGAATTAAGCCCCAAAATTGTTTAGCAGGAATTATAAGTTTAAGAAATCACTATTAATTACATTCAATTATTATTACTATTTTAATGGGGGAAAATCCAAAAAGTAATATCATGACAAAAGATGTCATAACAAATTAAAAATAAATGTGAGCATACAGTAGATCATTTGCCTCTTATAATTTTTTTGGAAAATTTGTAGGGGGTTTACGTAAGGATTGAAATATAGGAAAGGTTTATGTAACGCGTTTCTCTAATAACTAAAGTATTTAATGTATTAAATAAATTACTGAATTAATTAACAAAATTACTAATAAATAAAGTACTTTTTTTGCAAAAAGCCCTAATTAAAACTTAGAGAGAAAATACTTACAGAGTAGGTTGCTGGTTATAGTAGCAGATTGGTGAGGTTGGGCTACTATTAGGGATGGCAATCTGATCCGCCCTCATTTGGACAAGTTTGGGGAAAACCTGAAACTATTTTTATCAAATATGGGGTGGGAATGGTATTTATCCATCCACCCCAATATCTATACTATATTTGATTGCAACATAGGTACATCAGCCGTCTTCTTCTTCTCCCATTCACCCTTCTTTCATTTTCTCCTAAAACACCCCTTAATCTATCTTACATGTCCAATCAACAGTCATCTTAATCTATATTTTATTGCAATATAGCCTCCTAAATTATCTCTGATTATGTCTAATTCTTATTTATCTCATAAATTATCTTTAATTTATTAATGATTTTCTCTCCTAAATTATCTATAATTCCTATTAAAAACACAAAAATTAATTATAGGGTTTTTTACAAAATAAATGACTAAGTTTGGTGATTTGACAATATCAGCTGTATTTTCAAAATAATGGCAAAAACAGTGAGTGGAAAAGAGTTTTAATTTTTCAGTACAAAATTACCCTCAACTAAAAAGACCACACGACTTTTTTACCTTTTTAGTTCTTTACTTTATTGCATCTCTTTCTCAACATTTTAAAATGAAAGGGAGTAGGGGTGTTTGAATGTACCTTTAGGCATTACCATTTGCATTACTAGGCTACAAGGCAAAGCTTCTTCAAGAAGCCAAGAAAGTTTGAGAGATTGGTGGTGAGACAGGCTCAAATTACTCGCACATGAAGGTGTTCATCTACTCACACGAGTAGATTCCATTTAGCGCAAGGAAAATACACCTATTCCGTAATATATATATAAGAGAGAGAGATTACCTGCACCTGACTCATGCTGTGTTTGAATGCTTCTTTTGCCATCACCATTCATTAATTTGTATTTCAAAAGTAGAAATGATTCCATTGGCCACTAGGAATTTGCTACTCACTTTTCCTATCCACTCTCTGCCCACCGTAAATAGAAAATCTGGACTCTCCATTGGCTGTTTGCATATCTAAAATTTTAACAACACTCACCGGGGAAACTTGCAATGTATATTATCGTTCTCATCACCTTTGTAGTCTATTAAAGCTTCAAAAAATATCGACACAATCAATTTAGTCACTTCAGTTGCAGATTCTTTACTTTTCTCAAAGCCAAAACCTATTGATGGTCCTGCTACTTCAACTTCTTGAGCATGTTTTAATGCTAAAACATCTACTGATACATGGCCATTTCTACTTCCACTTTTGAAAACAATGGCTTGTGATTCTTCAACATTTGCAAAATCAGACATTATTGCATGTTTGCAATTTCTGCACTAGAAAGCAAGGAAACATCTATCTTTTATTTCTTCC